TGGTGCAACAGTACGAGTATGAGTCCGCAAAATTCAGTATGTGAATTAGTTTAGGATTCTGCTAGTTGCATAGTGATTTCACTGATCCGTTTCAAAGTCCAAAAACAGTTTTCAGATTCTTGTCTATCCTAATTTCTTGGCAACCAAGCAAGTTATTGAAGTTCGTTTGCATTTCATCAAAGGATCGTTGATTTTGTATCCCTCCATCAATGGAAACCACAGGGAACTCAGAATCCTCCGTTCCATATGTAACATGTTTCACCCCATCTTCCTTGAATTGATGATTTTTATTCTACGTTATGATAACATGTAGCTATCTGTGGTACTGAATTTGTAATGATATATTATTGGTTGTTTGGAAAGAGTTTGTATGGGAGAGAGGCGTAGAAGTTACTTTGTATCTTCGTATTGATAACCCCATTGATATATTTGATGTTACACTCTATCTCTTGCTAATAAGGTTCATTGAGTCGGAGTTGGAGAATTACCCTTGTTAATTTTGTTAGTGACTTAGGGAGCTCTGACTTCACAAGTCCCACCAAATTGTCAAGCTAGGTTCAATCTTGGTTCCGGATTTGGTTCTTCTCCCTAAAGCAAACAACAATTATCTATCAAATTTAGATATTAAGCATATTAATTGCCTAAAGCTTGGCCAACTGATCTCATAAGTTACATCACAAATTGAGTGATAAGCAGTAAGCAGCAGAGCTTTGCTAATGTAGGATTGGTTTGTCAAAATTTCACAGACATCTTGCTAATGAAGTTTATAAACTAGAGTTTCGGGGGGTTGGTAAGCATGATTACTAGACACAGTAGACTTCTAGCTTTAATATGCCCTTCTATCAGTAGTCAGGCTTCCCTTCCCTGCTACATAGCCAATGATGTGTACATGGTTTGTGCATCGAACACATGAATAGTAAATTTGTTACTGCGCATGAGTCCTGGCTAATTTTCAAAATGTTCAGTTAATAATTCCTAGTAAAATGGTATACTTCTTTCTCCATTTATTGTAAGCTTTTAAAATATGATCTTTTATAATGGTTTGTAAATTTTATGGTGCCAAACTGAATTTGCTTTTATAGCTAATCTCCTACTTTCCTTTATTAGGATACTCCAAATTAGCTGGAACTGTTAACGGGGTACAGCAACGGTTGTTGGAATATTTGCCGGCATGTTGTATGGAGGCAGCAAGGAGGCATCTGCTTCTGTTGTAAGTTTGCAAATAAAAGATGCTTCAAGCATCATGTCATTTCATTTGTGGCCCACCAAGAATACTAATATTTCAATGAAGAAAGGTTACTGAAATTAAGGTAATATAACTTCATGAAGTTGGGTTTGATTTGCACACTACGAAAGCAACTATGAGGAGCTGAGCTGGACACCATTGCTAGGAGGGTGTTGATGTTAGTTTGCTTATTTGCAGTTCTAGATAATCAACGTTGCTTGCAAAAGCATGAGTTTAGGGTGAGGGAAAATGTACCTGGAGGAAAAGTATAAAATGAAATGTTCACCAAATATTTTTAAAAAAAGTATAATGTGAGATAATATTAGATTGTGAGTAAGATACTGTTAAATATAACTGTACTGAAATGTGGATCTTTGGAGAGGTTGAATGGTGTTGGAAGAGTGCAACGACCTGAGTGGATTTTTTTTTTTTTTTGGGTCGATTGCATTTCTTTCAGCATGTTGATGCCATTTGCTATGTCCATAAAATCACACTTACACAGAAAAAAGGGACGCATGGGGTACAACATGTTGCTAAATAATGCGCTTATATATCCAATGAGTTGTCCTTTCAATCCCCCCCCCCCCAAAAAAAAAAAAAAAAAAAGAAGCAAAAAACAGAAGGAAAAAAAATTACGAATAACCTTTGAAAACGGTGTTAATCTCATTAATGTACATGTATGTATGTTCTGGCTGTTAGAAGTTGTTTACATCTGAATTCAATAAGAATCCATATCTCCTGTTTTACAAACATGACTACTAAGTTAATATTTGTGAAAAATCTTGCAAATTGTGGCATGTGAGAACTGTGAACTACAAGTATAATAGTTGTTTACCATTGAAAGAGAGAATCTAATTTAGACGCCCTTTTACTTTTTAACTAATCAGACATCCTTTTCGTGGTGGTTCGCATGTCATTAGCTAATATGCTTTTTTTCCTTATCTCCACTCAATTATCGATTAATACTTTTCTATGTTTTGCTAGAGCAAGGATGCAGAAGTGATGTTGAAGCTTGGGAGCACTCCAGATAAACGTGAGCAATATCGGTTGATGAGAGATGCAATGGAGAAGCGATTTATTCGAGTTACTAAGGGATCAATAATTGGTGGAGTACGCCTTGGGATGTTCACTGCTGCATTTTATGGTCTACAGAATCTGTTAGCAGAAAAGCGGGGTGTTCATGATGTTTTTAATGTTGCTGGAGCTGGATCAGCCACTGCAGCGACATTTGGTTTGATCAGTAAGGAGTTATACATCTAGTCAATTTTATTTTGGAAAGCTAGAACATTCTGTACTGATATGATAAATATAGTAAAAGAAGTTCATTTTATTTTCTTGTGTAAATACTTGAAACTGAAGAGCTCAATATGATAAGTTCATTTCTTACTTCAGTGCCAGGATCACTTGTTTGGCGTGCAAGGAATGTGGCATTAGGATCCGTTCTGGGAGCAGCATTCTGTTTTCCTCTCGGTACATTGTTTACACATTAGTCCTTGAAGAGTTTTCATGGAAACTGGATTTTTTTTTTAAAGTCTCTGTATTGCTCATACTAAAATCTGCAGATTGTTCTTCCCCCCGCCCCACCAATAATAGAACAGAACTTTGTAGAAAGAGAGAAGCCGAAACGTCTGAAATGCCATAGTGCCACCTCATCTATTTCTATGCCTCAAGGAAAGAGAATGAAAAATCTTTCAACATAATTAATTCTTTTTGCTGAGTTGGTATTTAATGGAGAACAGCTGTGTAATATTCTTACCATATGTGTTTCCATTCTTATTGTCATGAAAAGTAAGTTCCCAAATTTTCATTCCCCACCAGGTAAAAAAAAAAAAATCCTCTCCACTTTCTTCCCTTTCAAATGAAGTATTAGTGAAACGCTAAAACTAATTTTGGAAACTTGTAACATGATTGCTATTCACTGTTCATTTGTTTGGTGAAACGTTTTGTAGTTATTCTAGTGTTTGGATGATTAATTATATTACATTACAATAAAGTACATTTTGGAGAAGTAATTTGATGGATTTGGGAATCTGGCTACCTGCTGAAGTTATGTTCCATTAATGCCTGACAGGTTGGTTACATCTGAAGCTTGTAGAAAAAGCTAATGAAGGGAACCCTGTTTCTTCACATCCAGAATTAGATCGAAGGGAAGAAGTAAAGAGCGGGATTAGTGCAGCAATTGAGAGACTTGAAGAGAATTTAAAGAAATGAAAGCTTTACTCTTTTTGGCTGGGAAAAAAAAAACCAGAAGGCAAGAGTGGAGGGAGCATTTCAAATAGCATTCATATGCTTTTTTGCTCTTGAATATATAGGAAGAGAAATAATTCAATGAAGTACCTCCAAATGTTGAATATTTGTTTCCAAGATTATAGGGACTCTTATCCTATAATAACTCAACATAGGTTTATATATAGCTAATATAGGTTTATGGCTTAGCTTTTATATAAATCATTTCACCTGTGTTCAGCTTTCTTATCCTCGGATCTGCCACTGTGAGATTTATTTAGTCCTTCAACTACGGCGAGTCCTGTTTTGTTGTAGTATTGGATCAGATTTGGAGATTTGCTGTTAAATAAAATGTTGGGTTAAGGTTGACCAGTACCTTGAAATATTTTTCTGACTTTGTCTACTGTATTCTGAAATATTTTTTCAAGTGTGTTACATTTTGTGGTTTATTGAGCACTTTGAAATATTCTTTCAAGTGCAACAATAGTAGGTTGTGTTAATATAAAGAGTTAACACTCTGGAATTTTATATCATTGTAGTTTTCATTCTTGAGATTTGAAGGCAGTGATTTTAGCTCTTAAAACCTTATTTCAAGGAGTAGAAATATTATTACATGAACCAAAAATTTTTACGTAGACCAAAATGAGATCAAATTTTAAGTATTAAAATTATTGGTTTCAAATTTTGAGGATTAAAATCGAAATAAAGTCAAATTTTATGAATTAGAATTGGTATTAACCCTATTAATTAAAACATAATTGTGGCAAGTTCAAACTTCATTGTAACTTTAGCTAGATTAAAGAATAAAAAATTAGTTGTTAGAAATTTATATTGCAAATTAATTGTACTTGAAAGTTTTGGGTTGGTTACTGAATTTATGTTTCATGAAAAAGGGATTTTAAAGAAAATAAATTGCGTACATATATACATGAGAAAAATATGTCCACTCTTTAGATCAGTTATGGAAATAGCTTATCTAAAAAGTGGACTTTTTTTTTTATAATGCTAATTTTTTTAGATCAGGTGTGCAACTGTTATAAAAAGTGACAGACTTTCTAAACCAGTTATTTCTAGATCGGTCTCAAGCTCAATCTAAGATATTCCTCCTGTCTTTAATATAAGACTCATTTAACTAATTTGATTAGATTAAGAAAGTTATGTACGTTAGTTAATTATAAGAAATGTGACGTGTTTTTCCTAAAATACCATAATCATTTTTCTTTATACCTCCTCTTCCTCTTCTACTCAATTATGGTTGAGAGAGTATTCATAGGGGTAGTTTAGAAAAAATTGATAAATATGATAAATGGGTCTTATATTTAGGACCAAAATCAATTCAACAATTGGGTCCTATATTAAGGATAGGAGGAGTATTTATTTTAATCGGTCTAAAAGACTTTTTTTTTCCCTAATAGTAATAGAAAGCTGAACACAAATGAAATGATTTATATGAGGTTAAACATAAACCTATATTAACTCATTATAAGCTTGCATGTAAGCTCAAACTGTCATCATTGCCAAGGACTATATTTCACACTTGTTTTTGTTATTGCAAGTATGAAGTGAGAGGACAAACAAAAAATGGCCATTATTTTAAAAAAAAATTGCAACAGTGATTTATCATTTCTTTTTTTCATATTAAGCAATGCATGTCCGCCAGGCCCTAGACGAGCCAAAACCCTAGCGTACTCAATTAAGTTTTTTTATAATAAAACCCTGACACGCATAAAGAGTGGCCTCTTATTAGTGAAGTTAAAAGCATGATGAAGATAGGTTGACAAGTCGAGTTACAAGTGGTTGATGGCTCTTCCAACAAGATGCATGACCAGTTGGTGAAACAGGCTTTATGGAGTTATTAGTTATTGGGCTCGATGAATATTACTAATAACTAAGCTTATTAGTTTATTTGTTGTTCTTTTTTTTTTGGTTAAGGTGTACCCAACATTCCGAACTATTTATTCAGGTGTGTCCAGTGGCCTAAAGTAATTTTGGGTGTATTCAGTGTCCTAAACTAATTAAAATGGTGCGTCCATATCCCAGGCTAACAGAAATGTTATGTTTAACCGTTACTTTCCTGACTCAGCTTAAAGTTGACCCCAGATATTTTACATGGTAGACACATGGACACCCGATGTGTATTATTCTCACTCAAAAGTCAATTTATTTAGAAGAAGAGGAAGGAAATTAATTCAATTTTGAGTAAGAATAATACACATCAAATGTTACGTCTACCATTTAGAATATCTGGGGTCAACTTTAAACTGAGTTAGGAAAGTAACGGTTAAACATAACATTTCTGTTAGCCTGGGATATGGACGCACTATTTTAGTTAGTTTAGGACACTGGATGCACCCAAAATTACTTTAGGCCACTGGACGCATCTGGATAAATATTTTGGGGTGCTGGGCGCACCTTAACTTTTTTTTTTTTTAGCCTATTAAACGAAAGACATGACATATTACTAAGCTTGATTCTGAGTCAAAATGTATGCATGATTATAAGCCGCCTCAAAAATTGCCTCAGTATCCAATCATATTCTTGACATCAAAAAAGCACGTGTGATTATGAGCCAACTTGATTCTGAGGTGGATAGTGAAGATCAATTTGGTATCAAAGCTAGCTTTGCACAACTTCCACTTACAAACAGTGGAATGAACTGTGAAACGTGATGTAATACAAGGCTTTATTTAAGGCAATGCTCTAAATTCAAATGCATTAACACATCCTTGATTCATTTGGTATCAAAGCTAGCTTTGCATTACTTCTCCTAAAGAGCCACAACGAGACAAAGTGTGAAACGCGACGTAGTAAAAATCTTATTTAAGACAACGACATCGACACATTCTGGATTATTCCTAAAAACATGGAGATAGGCATTGCTGTGAAGAGAATCGACATTGCAATAACCCTCAACCTGCAAGGCAAGAAGCATGTAATTGTAGCACAAGAGTCAAGTAAATTTAAGACACATGAAAACATGCAGATAGAATTATATTTTTTTAAGAGTTGTCTAAGTAGAGTTTTCACTAGATTATTAAATATAGGAATACGTGGCTAAAACTATAACCAATGAGATCTGAAAATAATTCACATATCATAGTAGTAATCATATTTTACTGTAACTATCAGTAACTAAGATAATGAACTTTCTTGCAGAGATTATAATGTCCAATATGCTAAAAAAAAGTTATTAGAAAATACCCTCTCATGAGCAGCACAAAACTTCTATACAAACCTGTTAATTATTTTACATGAATTCAAACATAATTAATTAAATTATATTAAATGTAAAAAATGTATTATAATTTTTATTATTAACCTACTTAAGCTTACACTAAAAAATAAAACAAAAATAAAATAAAATATTAAAAAACATGAAAATACAAACAAAAAAAAAAACTAGATTGATTTATGTTGTCTACCTCAATATCCATCTAGAGGATATTTGAATAAAAACCAAATTATGGTTTTAAAAGTTATTTTACGATATACAAAATAAATATATATGTATATAAGAGTTTGTCCTGATTCATGAAAAAGTATTTTTTAAAAAAAATACTCAAGTATTCCCAACTCTTGAACAGTGCTAAGGAATTAGATGATCGTGCTTACCAACTCTTGAACAGTGCTAAGGGATCAGATGACAGTGATAAGTATTTATAATTAAAAAGAAAAAAAATCCTTTCTCTGGAGCTTAGACCCGTGATGAGAGAAACGAATGAGGGGGCCGACTGGCTAGCTAGCACACTAGAGCTTTCTTCAACCCCAGGCCGTGCAGTTTTTGACTGAACCCCCTGAAGGTGTACGGGTTTCTGCGTGAGGATAAGACGGGCCTGAGGAGCCGAGTGTTCAGTTTCTTGTTTTGAGCTTAGGCTTTGGCCCCGTTTGTAATAATGGAAAAACCTAATCCTTTCTCTTTAGGCCATCTCTCTCTCTGTCTTTTTTCTTTTTTCTTTTTAATTAAAGATAATTCTTTTTGAGATACTGTCGGATACTAAATATAAATATATTTTTCAGTGAGAATTCAAAACTTGGTTTACCGTATTGTAGGGACGAGCCTCTCTTGTTAGATCCAAATTCCGTTGGTTGGGCTATCTCTCATTGCTAAGTGAATCAAAATGTAAATCAAAGTCCAAGTTGAGGCTTGGGCCTGGGCCTAAGGTCCAATTTCATCCTAGGGTCAGAATCTAGAGGCCCAGATTATAAGGGCAAGTTTGACTTATTCTTAGTTGCACCATTATAAACCTTTAAAAAGTCTGTCAAAAATAAAATGAATACCTTTTTTACCAAACAAAATGATTAGATTATAAGGGATTCACACAAAATATGTTAGGAGTGACAAATGGAGAGAATGGTAACTGGTAAGCGTTTATAAAATTATATTTTTACATGAGCCTGATTATTTGTTATTATAAAAATAAACATATATCTTTTCTTTCCAGGACAATAAACATATATCGTATTCAAAGAGACAAAAGAAAGAAAACTATGAGTAAAAATAAAAAAAAATTATAAAATCTACATATAATCGTACATTTTCATAATCATTTGAAAAAATATATAAATATATGAAATTGATAAACATATACAAGCGACTTAAACAAGAGCGTGGTTGCATCAAACACTTTTTTCAGGTATGAAGTTGTGAGTTTGAACCTCCTATAAATAGCATAATGAGTGAGCGGTGACAAAGAACAAATGAGTTGGACTGTAATGGGCTTCACAAAATAGGCTTGGGCCCCAAGAGCCCATTTCTGAAAGGGACTCCAACTTTTGGGCCTTCGATTCCTTCATTTTTTTGTTGGTTTAATTACTATTTACTCGCGTGGAATTCTGGCTTGTCAAGGGGATTATACTTGAATCTGATGCCAACAGAATAATCCCAACCACTGCTGTAGCCTTTTGTCAATGCAGATGCATGATTTGCCAAAGTATGACTGGGAGATCAAGCTGTGCTTTATCGGAAGGCAAGCTAATGAAGTAGCTGATGCGCCAGCCAAACAGGGGATCTCTGTTTTGATACTTGTCCGAGTGAGATGAGGAATCTGATGGAAAACGATCGCTTGGGATTTAAGGAGGTGTTTAGATGGAAACCAAACCATGATTTCGGAAGTAATTTTACGGTTTACGATATGAATATGTAGAGGAGTTTATCTCAATTTGTAAAAAATTACTTCTGAGAAGCACTTTTCAGAGTATCCAAACACCCCATAAAACTCACTTTGTTTTCTTTGGGTTCC